TTGCAGTTTTCTATCGTTGTTCAATGAAGCTTATTTTTAAATTACTCGAATACATTTGATTTTGAAATTGAAAAGTGAAATAGTTGCCTTTCCAAGGCAACTGAATTTTAAAGTTATTCATATCAATTTTAATTTAATCTTATGAAATATCAAGAATATTAAAGAGCTTCGTTCGTGTCATTTCAACTCCTTCATGAAGAAACAGAACACCGACTTTTTTTATTTATTTAATCAGCATCTAAAAAAAATTAAAATATTACAAATGTCTGAAATATCATGTGTTATATGGGGATAAGGTTCACAAATATGTTTAAGTCCATGACGTGTAGAAAATAATTGTATCATAAATCATATTTGATTGCTTACACTAATATTCTTTATGTAATAATTCAAGGTCAGTAAGAACTAGTGAATTTGTTGTTATTACTGGATAAGCAACAAGAGGACGACGTTAATGAACATCAGATGATAACTTAGCATATATAATGGGACTTTCTTTAATTAAAGTGTTACTGATTCTTATAGATCTATGAAAAAAATATTATAGTATTTGAATGTTTTGCGATAACTTTGTGAAACACAAGAATATCAAATATTGAGAAATGCAGCACAAGAATAGGGAATTAAAACTTTATTGAATAGAACTCATAAGTTTGGCAACATATGCCAACTAATCGGAATTATGGATAATAAGTGTACAATATCACAGCAGCGTAGTCAAGGGAGGGGCAAAATGGGCAATCGTCCATTTCATTTGGAGATTTGTCCGTTGTAATTTTACTTTTACAGAATTGTTTATTTATTTTTGAATTAGATAGTAACACTATTTGTTTTCTTCTGTCTGAATCATACATGCACTTTTTGCTTGTTCTTTCTATGAAGAACGAAGAAAAGAATCGCTTCTGGTATTTTTACTACGGTTGCTAGATGAAAAACTTAAAAATCACGAAACGAATCAGAATTTTTTTCCGAAATCGGAAACTAATCAGAAAGAATAACTTTTTGCGGACTAAGAACTGTCATGTTCACATACTTATACAAAAACATCACTTTTTTTCTTTTATAGACTCATACTTTGCTTCCAAAAGTATGTCATAGTAAAGAGAGACAACGCAACTATTATATAGCTTAGAGTAATAGATCGTGTACTGTAAACTAAAGAGATTGATCATAGTCGGATCAAATGAATGCTCTCACTGTCAAACTAACTAATTAAAAATATGAGCTGCCAATAGTGTATACACACACCGAGATATTCGAATTTCAAGAAGTTTACAGTTTGTTTTGTGCCCACACTATGAAATTTCATCAACGCCTAGTCATCTTTTTTCGTCATGGTTGGATGGAGTAGAATCATTTACATAAGAGAAAACAATATCACGCGTATTAAAAAGCAAATTATACGAAGTCTAAGACAACATTTATTTTTTAATTATAAGGGTAATAAACAGAAAATTTTTATTGCTGTCAAATTACTTTTGAATGTGTGTGATATTGCTTCTTCTTATGTAAATAGTCGTGTTCTATCCAACCATGACGAAAAAAAATAGAACTACAGGTTAATGAAATTTCGTAGTGTGGGCACATGACAAACTGTACATATGTTAAAATTTAAACATCTCGGTCTGTGTACGCTAGTGACAGCTAACGTTTTAGTTGATCTGTGAGTGAGAGCATTCATTTGGTTCACCTATGAGTAATATTCTTAATTTGCCGTTGCATGATCTTCAATTGTTAGTTAATTAAAAAACCAAACTAGCAAAAGACACCCAGTGTCGGATTCTTTTACGAAGCTCAAATTCTGTTTACGAAAAATAATAAAGATTATAGAACATAAATTCCATATTATTTTTCAAGTTTTCCTTTGTTTAAAATTTCTTCAATAAATGTTTTTGAGCTAAAATATGTTTACAAAATCGTTCAAAAAAATAATTAGCATTTATTGTTAAGTTCTGCAACGCAAAAGTTTACTGATATATTATAGCACTCGTCAGCGACTGCAGAACTTATAAACTACAAAAGATTAAGAAAGGAAAGAAGATAGTGAAATATTAATTCATAATATTAATGAGTTATACTTGCGATTGATTTCGCTAGTAAAGCCACCATCTAAAAACATTTGGAATTCGCCAACGAATCAGAAAAAAAATCGGAAACATGTCCAATTTTCAGAAAAATTCTGACTTTTTAGAAGATCTGGCAACTCTGATTTTAACTGTAAGTTTGAATGAACATGAATTCGGTTTTATTGGGAAAACACTGACCGCATGAAAATAGAGAAGAGAAACAAGAGCATAGATCAAGAGAATACACACGAACATATATATGTATAGATATATATATACATATAGAGTGACACTGTACAGAGACATATTTGAAGGATCCTTAACACTACCTTATACATGTTTGTTTTTACGTTATTAGTACTTTGTTGGGTAAAAAAAGTTTCAGGCCTATCAATAAAAACCTTGCCCATTTCGTCCATTGGCTTTTTTCGACATAGGAGAGTTTGCCCATTGGTCCAAGAATCCTGGTTACACCGCTATTGGACGTTAGGTTAGGTAGTAAGATTTATATTTTATTATGAAAGTATATATGGTGTGTGTGCGAGTGAAGACAAGAGCCTCATCTATATCCACACCTTATATCAATTATATCCTTTTCTGTCATTTGCATAATTGTGAGCTAGTTAATATTTTTATTTTAAAAATCAAAGAAAAATCAGAAGAATTATCTTATATCACCTGTTACCAATGCTAATATTCAAATCCGCATGCTGGAATTATTGTCGTTGGATTTACAGTCGTGAACAATATTTATAAGGCGTTTTTTATTTCCATACAAAGTTTAGGTGACTGATACCTTTTATGATCATGCTATGTTGTTGCGACTCATGTATTCCAAGTCTACGCAAAAATTATTGAGTAAAGATCACTGCAAACAGAATCGACAAAATATCAGTGAGTTAAAAAAAAGTAATGATACTCGAAGAGACAGGATATTAGAAGTCAAGAGGATCGTCCAAGATGTCTCGAGTTTATTGACACTACTAGAATATTATATTGCATACTTTGCTAGTACATGTATTACTAAGCGTGAAATCAGAACTAAAAAACTTTTTCTAGTTAAGATCGGGATAATAAACGATTGATCCCGCTCGTCGGTACTCATTATACTTGGAAATTTAATAAGCTTCACAAAAAAAGAAAAATTTCTTTCTTCTAATCATTTGAAACCAATCGAGAATGATTAAATAGTTTATCATTAATTTTCCTCTTTTTTATAAATATATATAATGTTCGAATTATAGCAAATAAAAAATAGAAAATATGCATACACATAAGAATTGACTATAATCATTCAGAACAAAACAAAAAAAAAGAACATATTTTCTATGTGTCAGAAGATCAAATATACTTATTATCTGATACATAAGAGATTTTCTTTCTTTGCTTTTTTTTGGTAAATAAAGATAATAGATACAAAAAAAGAGATCACTGTTTGTCAATTATTATTTTTCTTTTCGCTTTATATAGTTAGATATTGTCCATGGAATAAAAATAAAAATAAATAAATGAAATAAAGAAAAACAAATTATTTTAATGATGTTTTTATTTCTTCCATGAGATTAGAAAGATAATGTGTTTCTGTTGATTTATCATCAATTAAAATATCATTTTGAGAATTCTAAATAAATAAAAATTATTTAGTTTGATTTTTAATAAAAATCTTAAAATAGACATACTATTGACTTAAATAAAAGAGCTATTAGTTGTCCAAGTATTGTTTCAGCATATAAAGATGCAGCTGAATTAATTTTTTCGACAACTAAATTAAGAATTTGGATATAAAAAAAAATTCAATCTTGTTTTCTAACCAGTTAATCAATAAGATTGACAAATTTTATTAATTATCGATAGAAAATCTTGATTAGATGATGGAATACGAAGTTGTGATTGACATGTCAATGTACCCGAACTCATCAAATCAGCGAATACCATACTTTTTAAAAAATATATATTCATGTTAAATAACCTAAAAAAAACTTATTCTTGCGAATCGATAGTCTTTCCTCGTAAATATTGTGAACAAGGTAAATTAAGTTTACATTCAATTCGATCTATTTCAATTATATTGAATTTCTAAATATATTTGTCAAAAATGAATATAATAAATATCTTTTTTATTTTTTTCAACATACATTTATAGAGTAAGTCAATGTTGTTTTTAAGTTTTGAGAAAATGATATAGCATTTATTAAAAAATAAATATAAATATAATTTGGTGAATGAGGAAAAAGACTTATAGATGGAAATGATATTAAATTTGCATTTGTTGTATTTAATAATTTCGAACTCATGCTATCAATAACATGGATATTAATATGATCAATAATAAATGATGTTCGATTTTAAAAAAAAAATGTTACATCCACTTGAGCTATTAATGGATCTGGATTAATCAAATATTCCTAAAAATAAATTTATAACAGATTGTTTAAATGCATATTCAAATGATTTCAATGGTAAAAAAAGTAATATCTCCAACGTTGGTGTGAGTTAGGGATGGACAAAGTTGACTTTTTTTTGGGGTTGGAATCTGAATGGATCTTTTTTGTTTGCGTAATAGTCATTTTAGTGAATTTCTCTTCAGATCATCTTCAAAATCAAGTTCTTGATAGGATTAATTCATTGTGTGTAAGTGTCAGAAACTTCTGAATATCTTCTATCCTGAGACATCAATATGAAAATTCTGTTACGAAGAAAAGCGAACTCCATCTTTTCATATCCCAAAAGTAAATTTTTTAGAGATGATTAGACGAAGATTTTCTTTAATCTCAATAGAGTCTGCCACCTAATGAGATAAGACTCATGTCAAAAGCATTTAATCACTTAGCGAAGTTTCCTCATCTATTGTTAAACTAGGATAATTATTGAATTTACAATTGTCAAATTATCAGATTGAGCAGCTAGTTTATAAGTATCTTGTTCATTGTATTGTTACTCAGATTGATTTGTTGGATGAATATCATCCGTCATAATGTCCAATAGGAGTGGCACAGAAGTATTTGTATATACTATTGTTGTTGTTTCTGATGATGATTTTTTTACTTTGGTTGTCTCTGCAGTAACAGGAGGAGCAAGAGAAGGCGTAGAAGAAGTTGGACGATTTTCTTCTTCATCAGCTGGTGATAATAATTCTTTATCATCACTACGTTCTCGTTTGTGTTTAGATTTCGATGTTGATGATTGTTCTTGTTTTTCAATTATTTTCTTTTTCTTAGATTTTTTGTTTTGGCTTCTCAATTAATATAGGAGGTGTCTCAACTTGTTTAGGAACTAATTCTTTTCATTGAGATGTCAATGGTGATGGTGTAGGAATCGATTGAATAGGTTTTTCATTTAAGTCAATATTAAGTGCTCGATATGGACCATATTTTTTATTTTTTCAACACGCACATCATTATCAGTATCTTTATTTTGACTTTCTGTAGCATTTTCTGCTAATTCACCACCATGTGTTACTTTAACAGTTGGATAAATATCATCATCATTATCATGAATTACTTTTGCATCAGTTTTCGATTTTTTTCTTTAAACATCGATTTTCTTCATCAATTTTTGCTTGACGATGTAATTGATTAGATAGTGTTACTTGTGAACTAGTAGCATTTGTTCCTTGTGATAATGATAATTCAAGTCTGTAGCTTATTGATATCGAGATATTGCACTTTTACTGTGGTTTTTAAATGAATGTCGTAGTTAGAGCCTGTCGGATTAGTTTCGGATCCGAAAACTTTGAATTCGATGGGTTCTAGCCATGGTGCCTCACAGAAATATCATGAAAACTAATTCTCGAATTTTGACTTGGAACTCTCCATACAGACAGACCTTAACGAAACTAGTTTCTTGTAAATGTTTCAGATATTGTTATTGCTCCTATCTTAAGATAAAGCTATGATAAAAATTTGTCCATTATATCTGATGATAAATTCGACGTTCTTATGTCAACATAGACGGTAATCAAAAGATTTGAAACGTTCATAATAAATCACTAACACTAAAAACTTATTTGTGTCAATTTTGGTTTTTTTTTTAAATCTTTTAAATAGAATGGATTCATTTGTTCACTTTGTTTTTTTGATTCTCGTTGTTTTTCTAATTCTTCAGCAGTTGGTTCAATATATTTTTTCGATTTTTGATAACTTAATGTATCACCAGAGTATGAATTAGAATTATAATTTTTTCCATTATCATCATAAAATAAACCTTTATTATCATAATATGAACTTGTTGTTATCGATTCATCTTCACTGTCTGATTGAGGATCATTTATCCAACCATCCAAATCCAAAAATGTTGAGCTTTAGCAGCAATTGGATTAAGAACATCATCAAATAATACTGATAATTCATTAACATTAAATTCAGATTTTTCAATTAATTATAATGTTGTTTTAAAAATATGCTAAATAACACTTGGCCTAAATAAATAATTTCTTTGTTTTTTTATATTTGATATTTCGAGCTATTGGTAAAAGACATCCGGATATTTATTATGATTATTTTTCTAGCATTTTTATGAACTTTTCAAGTTCAATTAGTTTCGATCAATATTTTCAAAACAACAACTTCTCAGAATTTTATGACGTATCATCTAGGAATAAATTAAGTATATTAGTTGCCTGATACGGAAAAACAAACTATAGTATATTTGAGCAAATAGATTCTTTCGAAAAATAATTTTTTAAATTTTGGATAGCTGACGCTAATTAATTGTGATTATCTAGCTTCTTTCACTGGAAAAATTTCTGACAAATAGATACCATCTATAGATTGTGTTTAGAATTCAACAATCAATGTAAAACTTTGAAAAATGTATAAGTTCTAACTTGTATTATTTATTTGAACCTTCATCAATTCGAAAAATGAATGATCATAGTAGAAGTCAATTAGGACAGGTCTGTATCGGAGGTTATATTTGGGACTATTGATGCCCACAAGGGTTTGGATCCATATGCTAGTGCATCCAACTTAAGTTTGGTGGTAAAATGCTCAATCCGATAGTAAATTCAAATTTAAATAAAAGCGTCGGAAAAAAAGTTACATATTCACCAGTCATTATTTTTTAGTTCTAATGAAGAAGAAGGATCTTCAGTAAATTCAAACGGCCTGTAGTGTATCGAGTAAATATATAACGCTGAATAACTATATAACATCTAATGAATATCATTAAAACTTCAATTTGAAACATACGTTTTATTTATATTATTTTATCTATTTGGTAATAGCTATTGCAAGACAGCTACTCATTTGCAATTAGAATTCAAAGTGTAATTAAATGCAGATTCATAGTAGATTTATTGCTAGCTACAAACTAGATTCAGATATCATGAATCGATTTTATCGCCAGGCTGTCTATTGTGTGGGGAGGTAGGCGCGTGAATATTAGGTGAAAAAACGAAAATCGAGTTTTCAATGATTTAGATAGTGATTGATATATTTGGAAATACGCTCTTTCTGATTGTGTAAAAATTATTTCATAGCGTAGAAAATCCCCTGATCTAACATTAGCCTAAAAATATTGCTAAATTACTAAAAATTGATTTTTATTCAAGATGCAACCAACTAAATGGCAAAAAGCAATATATATTCTAAAATTTGTGCATTCTCTACTATCTAATAGTAAAGCAAAAATTTTATTTTGAGTCGCCACCTTTGAGGAATAAGATGAACATTTCTACAATGAATTTTCCAAACCACTTCGTTATAGTAAAATGAATGTGCATCTCTTAGCACCAATTTAAGTCTACTCACACTTTACCTACAAGTCCTTCTATATGACCTGCATCAGCACAGATAGCATAAACATTCCTGGATCGTACAACAGATTTTCAGCTGAGTTCCTCTTTTGCTGGCTGTAAAGCATTTCTATTCAAAACCAATGACTTATTCGAAATCAACATATGAAACTCCGTTGAATGATGTATGATAAAAAATCTTCTTGAAGATGATCTTCTGAGCAACAGAAATTACATGTTCATCTCCCATGTGAAAAATGCGATTTTTTTTATCTTGATGTCTTTTAAAATAAAAAG